GAAATGCAGAATGGTGTGGACAGTCTTTGTGTGAACTGACACTGGATATTGGCTGACAATGCAGTTACACAGATCAAAATCTTTCCTCCCTTACTTAAGTTCAATGAAGTCTCACTGTCCCACCCAAAGGACATGGGTTAAAATGTGTGGTTTCAAAGGCTTAAAATGAACATACATTCACAGACAGACACAATATACCTATAATTTTGCTCACTGTTCTTACTAACAAAAATCTGTTTGCTGAAGTTCCTGCCATTTTAAAAAGACATCATGTGCTTTGTTGGCCCCCTGTGTGTGTTACTTCAGACATCATCATGAGTTTTCCTGTTATTTTTAGCAACGTTTTACACAATTCTCTGTCTGTATTATTATAATTTCTTAAGTTTTAACAATCATACAGACTTAATAGACAATTTTTTTGGACAAATTCATTGTTTTCTTCTCATTGTTTTATGAGATCTTTGGTTGTTTTAACTGCATGCTTTTCTATGACAGGATAAGACACACAGGCTATGTGAATACAGCTTGTGTTCAGGTCTTCAAAGTTTACATCTTACATAAAAATCTAAACTTTACACATTAAAATTTCCTTTTGTTGTCTTCACAGAAATTAACCAAATGCTATGACCTACTATATTGCCTGCTGTATACGTTTTCTTAAACCCCTTAAAATCAAGAAGGCCTTGCAGGGGGTTAGGAACCACTGGCCTAAACCAAAACGGAAAAATGTACCATTTGGTGCCCACTGTCAAATTACAGTAGAACAAGACCTTGGAAGCACAGGTGGAAACATCTCAGCTGGGCCAGAAACTTTGATTTGGCTGTAGTGCAACCAATGTGACGTGGCAAAAAGCAACCTCTTCATTTATTTCAGTCAGACCATGGCTCTGTCAAAGTCTGGGTCCTGACGCTGAGGTTCCTGCAAAAAACATCCAGCAACATTATTAAAAATATATATAAAACTTGTGCAATCACACATTCCAGTAGATGAAGAGAGTGATTCTACTGTTCATCTGTGATTGTTTAGGAAAAAATGACAAAATGACACTCAGAGGCAGAGCGGGTCGTCC